ACTCAAAAGAGAAAGGAAAACTTGAAATCGCATCATATGACCCCTTTAACCAAAACTAATAAATACTTTCTACATTTAAAATAAAAAAGATTTTTTTTTTTTTTAGAAAAATTGTTAGCATGTCCTATTAGCATTGCTAAGTTATTTAGTGATGAAAATTAACCAAAAATAACAACTACTGTTTTACTTTTTTTTTTTAAATTAGATAAAATATATTAGATAAAATGCAAAACAGATATTATTTGTATTTTTATATAATTATTTAGTGACAAACATTAAGCAAAAATGACAGTTCATTTTTTACAATTAAAATTTAGAAGAAAATTTTTTGAAAAGGACAAAACAGAAGCATTTTAATTGGTCACCCTTTTTTAGTAGACTTTGGGGCCCCACTGTTTTTTCTCCAAATTTTGTACCATATCCAGTTGGCATTGCTAAGTTATTTAGTGGCGAAATAGAACATTAGAATTAAAATATATTTGAAAAATGCAAAACAGATATTATTTGTATTTATTTATATAAATATTTAGTGACAAACATGAACCAAAAATGACAATTCATTTTTTACAATTAAAATTTAGAAGAAAAAAAACCCTGAAAAATGCAAAACAAGCATTTTTTGTAGACTTTTGGGCCCCACTGTATTTTCCCCACATTTTGTACTGTGTCCTTCTAGCATTGCTAAATTAAAAAAAAACTAAAAATAGCCCTCTATCTAAAATCAAGCCTCCTCACTGCAGTCTTAAATTTAAGCATGAATGGAGGACCGTACACACTCTTCAACACACTGAACCCTGCTGGTTTGTGTACATGTACATCTCACGGATCCATGTTTCCGTCCAACACTTGGTTGCTCTTTTATCTGAGCTGCCTCTGTGGCAGGAAAGATAAGAGGGTTTGGGAAGGCCTTTGAACTGCTGAGCATCAATCGCAGATTTCTCTCCCCTCTATTTCCTCATTTGCGGACCTCAATGTAGGCTATTCGACTACTTCAGCCAACCCGAGCAGTGGACGCAATAGTGATACCCGACGCTTAAAGCAGAAAGTGTTGTGGTCTGTGCAACATATAGTGTTTTGCTCTCCCTCTCTCTCTCTGTGCTGCTTGTTTCTTTGTCTCCTTATCCATTTGCATGCCAACCCTTATCAAGCTGGGCTGTCCTTTCTTCAGCCTGCATCCTAATTATGCGTCTCAAAGAGAGACCGGCCGGCCCCCTACATCTGACAAGCGTCTGAGGAAAAAGCTGCATGTCTGATGACTAAATCCCGTTTTCTCGAAAAAGCGCCCATCACTCAAAGCTCACGTATGTAAGGGGACCCAAGTCTAACATGCTCGCCGAAGGAAACGAGGACGCTGCTTTAAGGTAAGGATGTCTCTGTTTACAATTATTGGGCTTTTTGAGATTGAGCTTTTTGGAAAGTTAATTCAGCAATTCCAATCAACAGGTGTCATTCCTGAGGAAATGCTAGAAAAAAAAATTTAATTACATTTCTGAGTCGTGTTTTACACTGTCTTTAGATGGAAGATTTTACTCTTATTTCAGTATTTCAACTAATTATTTGCTCAAAGCAGATCACAATAACTATTAACTAACAGCTGTGTTTTATTATACATGACGTGTGGGGAAAAATATCCTTTATTTTTGATGACACGCAAGCCATTCACTCTTATTTTGTTTTAATATCCACCAATTTTGATCTGTTTTATGGTTCATTATTGCAAAAATGATATCATCATTATATAATAAGATTTTTTTTTTTTTTCAAATCTTTTTAACTGATTACAATCTGTCGTTTCTATACACTTTTTTAATTTTATGTTATTGAAATGGCCAAACTTTAGTTGCCGATACATCTCATGCAAAACAATTACTGCGTTGACAATTCACCTTGACCAACTTCATTTAAAAGCCACGAGTAAAATGTGGCCAAATCAGGACTGTGATTTTAGTATTTCTCCAATTCCCGAGTCACCTTTACTGGCAGGATTTGTTAGCAACCTAGATCCTTCACCATTAAGCCATTACCACCACCCCAAGTAGATGGACTTTTTAGATGGGCACCGTGGTCGACGACCTTGACGTAATCGGCCGAGGTTCCTCTTGCGCAGAAGAGGAATATTTAACTAAATGTCAATGATCTAAATGTGTTTTTAAACAAACACTAATGTTTCCAGTGATATCTAAATATTAAAGTGATAAATATTTCTCACCCTTTACACGCGTCAAATCTGACCGCAATGGAATCGCTCGAGCTGCTTGCTGTTGCTATGGTTACACTTTCAGGCGAACACAACGTTTATTTGTTAGCGTTTGTTCCCGTTAAACCTGCAGTTATATGACGATGTATTTGAACTAAGACGCCCCAACCTTTTTGTTTCGATTTCCTTTAGGGGGGTTCTAGCCCTAATTCGGCGCGTCTGCGTTCCCCACACCCGCCTCAAATCGCAACCGCGTACTGAGCACTTTTCTTAATATACTCATTCATATAAACACTTGGACTGTCACATGAAGGCGGGGCTCCCTGTAACTCCATAGTGACGTGATGAGGCTTGTCTTGGTTAAACCTACCAATGAAACGGGCCTTCTTGACTCCACCGGGGCTGCGCTCAGCGAAAGAGTGCCGGATCATTGCAACGCAAAGCGGCACTCCGCCACAGGTGAGGCAGGGATGCAGCATCGCTACTCGGGAGCCGTCCATCAGCACCACCACCAACACCATCACCTCCACGCGGAGCACAGGGGTGGCCCTAGACAGACCGCACACCCCTTGCCAAAACAGAGCCAAGAGAACCTGCCCAGCCCTTTCAGTCAGGAAGCATCAGTCAAAAGCCAAGGGAGCAACCCAAGTCTCGCAGACTGTTCCAAACCCTCCCTAAGTCAGCAGCAGAGTGTTGGAGGGGCTGCCAAAACTGCGAATTGCCAACAAGATCACTGTTCGTGCAGCTGCGGATTGCAAGAGCATCAACAGCTGTTGCAGCAACAGCTGCAGCATCACAACCCTCCACCTTCCCTCCAGCTACAGGTTCAGCAGCAGCGGCTGCTGAGGAGCAGCCTGCCCAACTGCTGCGTGAGGGGATCCGCGGAGCTGAGAAGCCAGCAGCCGTCTTTGCTGCAGCAGCACCACCGTGACAAAGACAGCCTGAGATCAGGCGAGCAGCGGAATCTAGCGTGGACGCCTGATAGATGCCAGGGAGCCAGAAACTCCGCTTCGCCGCGGAGTAAAAGCAGCCCGCTGTCCTCTGACAGTCGCCCGTGGCTCGAGGAGAATAAACACAGACACGAAGGCTGTAAGGTAAGCCTGCATACACCGACTCGTTGAAATACGCATCGTTTATACATGCACTCTGTGAAGTTTATGCTTAACAGGTGGCCAGTTTTAGCAATGCGCCCGATTACGCAGGCAGCGCAATACTGGGAGGTCGTGTTTGAAATGGCTTGCCATTTTTAACACCAAATTTCGGCCGTGTGGATGCAGAGGGCTGCTTTGTAGTTGCTAGGTGTTGGTATTCGAGTTAACCTCGAAAGCATGGAAAGAAAGAACAGGCGGGGGTGCTTGCAACAGGCTGTCCATGATTCCCATGATGGCGTTTAATAGTAAGCATTATGAAGCATTCATTCATTCTTACACCTGCATCATTCATATGTAGTCTAACACTGAATATTTCTAGTCTGCCTCATCATATGTGAGTCACAGTTTAAAATTAGTCTATCTATCTATCTATCTATCTATCTGTATGCATTCATTGCCTGCAAGGAGCAGGGGCCAGAAAAGCAAGGCAGAAAGGCAAATCAGTGTCATTCATTCCTTGTGGGAGAGTCGACCTGTTTCTGCCTCGCTGTTCCATTTTCTGCCTGTGCAAGCCAAGGGAAAGCCCCTCTGAGTGGCACTAACATGTACTTCAGGCCTGTATTATTCATGACAGTTTAGACATCACTGCTAGAATGGAGAGACATTAGTATCAGTTTAGTTCACAATGCACAGCAGATGGAGGTAAAACCCATCAGCGATCTCTTCCCATGAAATCTCCCATAAGTCTTTCCCGTTGTTTGCGTCAGTCTCTGTTTCTTTCTCCGCTTGACTGGTTCTGGTGTTTGACTGCATTGTGCTTGTTCTAAAAAAAAGTGATTGTTCTACCTGTGGCATTGGATTAATTTATAATGTAATTTATTGTTTGATGCACAGCATTGGTAGGAAGTAATATTACCCTGGGAGCTCGAAAACATTTAGCTGTTTGTACAAATCGCTCTTTTAGGAAAACCACATTTATGCAGAATTCTCTCCACAGGGGGTTGTAATTATGTAAATATTTACACAGAGTTTACAGTTAGGCTTCTTCTTGATTGTGCATGAGATGGAGTGAAAGCACTGGGATGTGCCGTGGATGTTGAGGGAATGACTGGTTCAGTATGAGCGAGCAGGCGGAAGGGAGAATCTCTGGGTGTTGTTGCTCTGCAGCTGGCATTCTGCTGCTTAATCAAGGGTAATTTCTGGAGAGTATAATTGGCTGAGCTCTCTCGTCTCTGTGTATTCGAACTGAAACTGGCCGAGAGCTCTGCAATGCCTACAGTGTGTGTGTGTTTAGAACTATGTCAGACTATGTCAAACCCTATTGCTGGGATAGTATAGATTATTAAAGGAATAGTTCATGCAAAAAAGAAAAAAGCTGAAAATGTCCTCACCCTCAGGCCACCCAAGATGTAGACGAGTTTGTTTCTTTATTGGTAAACAGATTTGGAGAAATTTAGCTTCACATAATTTGCTCACCAGTGGATTCTCTGCAGTGAATGGGTGCCATCAGAATGAGTTCAAACAGCTGATAAAACCATCACAATTATCCACAGGACTCTAGTCGATCAATTAACATCTTGTGAAGCGAAAAGCTGTGTGTTTATGCTGATAAACAAATCTATCAAGATGTTTTTAAATTCAAACCAATGCTTTTGGCTAAAATATGAGTCTATAATCCAAATAACGCTTCCTTCAGTGAAAGTTTTCTCGTTTGAATAAAGAGAGAAATATGCATAGATCAAGCACAGTTTACAAGCGGAAACAGTTCTAAACAAAAATGTTGGTGGATTTTGATATGAGAGGACAACGGGGGATGGACTTTTTCACCATAGAATGAGTTATTATGGATTATGGACTCGTATTTTGGCCAGAAACAATGGTTTAAAGTTAAAATGCCATAATGATGGATTCATTTATTACAAACACACAGCTTTTCACTTCACAAGATGTTAACTGATGGACTGGAGTTGTGTGGATTACTCGTGGATTATTGTTATGGTTTTTATCAGCTGTTTGGACTCTCATTCTGATGGCTTACATGTGATGCTAAAAGACAAACTGGTCATAATCTTTGATGACCTGCGAGTGAGTAAATGTTCAGCAATTTTTCATTTTTGGGTGAACTATTCCTTTGATAAAAGAATATGCTCTGAAACTAACATACTAACATTATCTTGGATTATTGATGCTACCAACCAGTTAAAACATCTTATGCTATTTGAGGTATAATTAATCTATTTTTAAATATCTGATCATTCTCTTGTTTTCTGTAGTCTGATGAAAGCAAAAAAAAAAAAAAACTTGGTTACACTTTATTTTAAGTGCCCTTGTTGCAGTGTAATTATATATTAGGTACTGAGTAATATTAATTAACTACGATTTAGGGATTAGGGTTAGGAATACGGTTGGTTTATTATTAGTTGCATGTAATTACACAGAATTTACTGTTATGACTACATTAAGTACCTAACATGTAACAAGGACACTGTAAAATATAGTGTTACCAAAAACTTTGATTCGGGAAAAAATGATCTTGTCTCCACCACTTTTGTTCTTGTTGTCTTTTAGCCCATGAGAGCCCCTGCAGTTATTTATGTGATAGCACACTAAATTTCACTTGGGAAATAATAAAAAATGATGTTATGAAGTCAATTGCTTGAGGATGTAAATGCAGTCTTTTTAACCTATAATGCAGGAAACTGTTCTGCATGTGAAACATTGTAAAAATCAAGTTTATTTGCTACTTTTCATGATGCTGGAGTTGGACGGACAGTTTTGCCAGTATTCCCAGTTTCAACGCCATTGTTAGGTTATTGCTAATTGTCCACTAAGTTGTTCCTAGGCTATTGCTTACTGGAGTTATTATGGATTATGGACTCGTATTTTGGCCAGAAACAATGGTTTAAAGTTAAAATGCCATAATGATGGATTCATTTATTACAAACACACAGCTCTTCACTTCACAAGATGTTAACTGATGGACTGGAGTTGTGTGGATTACTCGTGGATTATTGTTATGGTTTTTATCAGCTGTTTGGACTCTCATTCTGATGGCTTACATGTGATGCTAAAAGACAAACTGGTCATAATCTTTGATGACCTGCGAGTGAGTAAATGTTCAGCAATTTTTCATTTTTGGGTGAACTATTCCTTTGATAAAAGAATATGCTCTGAAACTAACATACTAACATTATCTTGGATTATTGATGCTACCAACCAGTTAAAACATCTTATGCTATTTGAGGTATAATTAATCTATTTTTAAATATCTGATCATTCTCTTGTTTTCTGTAGTCTGATGAAAAAAAAAAACTTGGTTACACTTTATTTTAAGTGCCCTTGTTGCAGTGTAATTATATATTAGGTACTGAGTAATATTAATTAACTACGATTTAGGGATTAGGGTTAGGAATACGGTTGGTTTATTATTAGTTGCATGTAATTACACAGAATTTACTGTTATGACTACATTAAGTACCTAACATGTAACAAGGACACTGTAAAATATAGTGTTACCAAAAACTTTGATTCGGGAAAAAATGATCTTGTCTCCACCACTTTTGTTCTTGTTGTCTTTTAGCCCATGAGAGCCCCTGCAGTTATTTATGTGATAGCACACTAAATTTCACTTGGGAAATGATAAAAATGATGTTATGAAGTCAATTGCTTGAGGATGTAAATGCAGTCTTTTTAACCTATAATGCAGGAAACTGTTCTGCATGTGAAACATTGTAAAAATCAAGTTTATTTGCTACTTTTCATGATGCTGGAGTTGGACGGACAGTTTTGCCAGTATTCCCAGTTTCAACGCCATTGTTAGCTTATTGCTAATTGTCCACTAAGTTGTTCCTATAGGCTATTGCTTACTGCCTAGACGCTACATTTTTTAAATTATTTTTTTCACAGATAAAGATGATAAAATAATATTTTCACACAAGATAGGCCTGTCATTAATTACTCACCCTCATGTCGTTCCAAACCCGTTAGACCTCCGTTCATCTTCGTAACACAAATTAAGATATTTTTGATTAATCCTGAGAGCTCTCTGACCCTCCCATAGACAGCAATGTAATTACCACGATCAAGGTGCAGAAACGTAGCAAGGAGATCGGTAAAATAATCCATGTGACATCAGGGGTTCAACCGTAATTTTACGAAGCTACGAGAATACGTTTTGTACGCAAAGAAAACAAAAATAACGACTTTATTCAACAATCTGTCTCCTCTGCGTCACCCTGGTGCCATTTTGGAGAATATCTACTGAACGTAAACAGCGTATGCTGTTCTGTGTCAGCTGCGTCACGCTGATATACGTTGTTTTCGTTCAAATCAAAGCGTAAACAACGTAGAAAACTTATCCGCGTGATGCATTGTTGAATAAAGTCATTATTTTTGTTTTCTTTGCGTTCATCAAAAATATCTTTTGTGTTTGTGTTACGAAGATGAACGGAGGTCTTACGGGTTTAGAACGACATGAGGGTGAGTAATTAATGACAGAATTTAAATTTTTGGGTAAACTAACCCTTTAAGTATCTATACAGTGTGTATTACTTTTTTCCAACATGTTTATGAATCATTTTGTGATTCAAAGTGTCTTACTGACTCTGAAATACAAATGTGTATGTGTATTAAAAGACAACAAAGAGGACCGTTAATGAAACAACTAACTCGTCTCTCTTGTCTCTCTCTCTCATTTAATCTCAAGTTGATTACTGCTTACAGTCTTCCCGACTGCCCGGGACCTGTAACAATTTGCCATGTATTACTTCTTTCAACTTTTTATGAGACCATATTGACACAATATATGCATTTGTAACAAAATATAGAGGATATAAAACATATATTTTATAGATTAGACTTTCTTTAAACAAATTCTTAGCCCTATTGGAAATATTTTTTGTAGTATTTATTATAGTATATTAAATTATATTCAGAGTGTTCCTAAAAGGATACAGACAGTACAAGACTGTACTTTTGGACAAGTTCCCACAGTCTGTTTGTAGAAAACAAACCTAAAAAGTGAGACAAACAAAAAGCTGTACAGAATATAAATGATCTGTTGCCATGTCAGCAGAAAGCCATGTGAAAGACTCCATGAAATTTACTTTTGGGGGACCTGAATACTTGTTTTTCTAGTCCTGAATGGTATTATTTGTAACCTCAGTTTAAGCGTCAGTATCTAGTAGCAGTTTCTGCATAGTCAATACAGCCCAGTGCAGTAACATTTTTCATTCTCTAAAAAAGAGTTATGCTGAGGAGGCTGGAGGTTCAAGCAGTATTTTTGGATTTAACATGATCTCTACCGAGGTTCAGCTAAACCAACAAAACCAGGTATGTGACAGATACGGTTTCCAGGTGGTTCCACAACTAGCTTTGGTTAACTATGCCTATCAGCAGTGTATGTTTGATATGTTTGCATATGTATTTTCAAACAGCTGTCATTACTCATTTCTAATCCATTGGTGTCTCTCTAGTCGGTTAGAATGTGGGTCTACGTTGTGCGCTGCCTATCAGAAAATGACATTACAGAAGTAGGTCTCTGCAAATGAGTTGGCATTGTGTCAGCCCAGCAGCAGTAGCTAGATAACAGAAACGGATCCTTATTGCCATGGAAATTAGAACAGTATAAATTCAGAATAAAAATTCAATTCAGAAATAATTTAATAATGTGAGATTATTGTGAGCAAGCTTTTTGTATCATCTTCACAAGCATTATCGCAAGTATTTTGCCGCATTTACTGATCTGTAATACAATTACGTAAAAAATATTCACTAATTTCCAAACACTGTAAAGAAACGTTGCATGTTCCCATGCTTTCACGGTTACAGCTTTTTTATATTTATACAAATTCTTTCAAATCATTTAACTTTTTGTCCCTGGGGTCCATTGATAATGTTAATGTTTCTTCCACCCAAACAGTTGACCAGTTTTGAAAAGTGATAGTACTAGTAAGTGACAAACTGATAGTGATATTGGATTATATTCCTGTTTACAGCTTTGTTTATTTAAAGTAAACAGTTTCTGTTGTCAGATTGTTTTCATTTTGACAAAATGTTATCTAAAATACAATTTGCATTTAAGAAAGTTTGTAATTTTAGCAGGGCTCGCAAAATCGCTAGCCCGACGTTCCGGGGCTATTGTGTTTTCCAGTCAGGCTACCAAAATGTATCACCCTGCCCGACGGACTATACCGCGGTCTTCAATTTAGTTGTATCAAATTTAAGGCCGTAAAAAGTTGTAAATACGTTAAATGGTAGCTATAAGAAAAGTCTTAATTATATTTTGGTCTATATAGCTAATTTTGCACTTCATGACAACTGTGAGGGGGTGAATTTTTTTATAACACATTAGTTTAAATTATATTAAGCCTTAAAGTTCTGCATAATTAAGGGCGTGGCCACTTGAGTGACAGGTGGATTGCCGCTGCTGTCACCACCGTCGAGCTAGGTGGGTGTGGTTTCAGCAACCAGCTCCCGCCTCTTTGCCCATTTTCAATTATCCGGGATCCGCGGTGACGCGCTGCCAAGATGTCGAAGGCTGGCTCCACCAACTTTGAGCTTCAAAAACGCTCTTCAGAAACCTACGTGTAACTTCACGGACACTACTTCCATGTTTTTATACAGTCAATGTTTTTTTGGCATTTTCATTTCGATAAAGTAAATAAAGTAAGTTAGCGTTCATGAGCGCAGCTCTGCTTTGTGTACAGCCATTACCGGGGAATTATCCGCTCTATCCGCTCCAAAAGCGCCTCCTGCTGGCAGAGAATTAATTTGCCTTTCTCACGTAGAGTTGTAAATGTGAAAGACGTTAATGTGCCTTCTAAAAATCTTACCAATTCAGACAGTAGTATTTATTTGTTTTAAATTAATATAATTTATCCCCCGGTTTCATAGACAAAGGCCTAAGCTTACTCCCTGACTTAAATGTAATTCTGAGCTGTTTCAACTGAAAGAAACTGGCACTGACTGATCTTAAAATATATCAGTGCCTTTGTTTTGTCTCAAGATACACACAATGTTTTTTTTCTAAGGCACGTTTATAAAAAATTATTTAAATGTAATTTTATCATTTTTAAACATTAAATTATTTAAATGTAATTTAACTATGGCCTAATCCTGTCTTTGTCTAAGCCCTGTTTGTGAAACAGGCCTATAAGCTTGACTTATCCCTTTTCTTAATAATGGTTTAAAGGCTGAAATGCCATTTTATTTTATTTTTTGTTTCTGGAAATTGTATGGCTTAATATGTTACCATAGACATTGCTCTACCCCCCTACGGTGTTCATTTTACTTGTACAGCTCTTAAAAAGGGTCATAAATTGCCTTAAATTTATTTTTTTTAAATCCGCAGATACCCTGTAAGTAGTGAAATAAAATTTCTTCCTTATTATTTTTTCTATATTTATCTTTTTTTATTTGGGCTAGTTAAATTAATTTTCAGGCTACCAAAATCTGAAGAGTACCTGCCCGAAGGGCTACCAGGGATTTCAAAATTTTGCAAGCCCTGCAACTCATTTGTATTCTAAATACAGTATCACGTTACACTACCGTTCAAAAGTTTGGGGTTGTTGAGATTATTTTTTTCACCAAGGCTCACCCAAGGCTGCATTTATTTGATCAAAAATACAGTAAAAACAGTAATTTATTTGAAATAGAAATCTTGTGTAATGTTATAACTTTTGATTAATTTAATGCACTCCTTACTGAATGACAGTATTAGTTTCTTTCAAAAAATCTTTTGAATAATAGTATATATTGGCCATCAGCGGTTTTTGTTTAATTGAAAATTTCAGTGTTTACTTTAAAATATATTTAAAAAAAAAATTTAATCATTGTTCTATTTCAGTTTTTCTTTATTATAGCCCTGTGATGCTTTTTTATATAAATTAAACTGTAAATAGTTGATTTCACATGACCGAGTAGTTACAGTCAGTAGACGATGCTCCTCCCACATGCATTATGAACCCCGTAGATGCTGGCATTTATAATGTAATTTTCTAAAGAAATGTCCATTAAATCAGGATTGTTGCGAATCGGCAGTGCTCTGCCCCTCAGCCAGCACACAAGCTCCTGGACACAAAAGACAATGATCAAATCTATAAAATATCTTCTCATTTCTGGCAGGTGAATGCGGATGCCAACAGGCTGAGCCATGCTGGATCGCGGCCTTCCCTGTCCCACGGCGGCCCACAGTATCCTCAGATAGCCATGAACAGCTGCAAGTACAATGGGGGCATAGTCAGACCACTCGGCAGTCTGGGGGCGTCCCGGAGGAACCTAGCAGAGCTGGACTCTGAGACACAGCCTTTGCAGACCCTGCACACTTCCGGCCTGGAGGTGGTGGTCTCCAAAGGGAATGGGGAAGACCCTAGTAAGCAGTCCAGC